TTCAATATTAACACGATATTTATTCTTATAAAATTATTTGTAATATTTTTTTCGCGTATTATAACAATAATAAAAGTGTTATTACTATTGAAACCCTATGCATAGCACAATTCAAATTACTTGATTTATCCATTATTACTATTGAAACCCTATGCATAGCACAATTAAAATTACTTGATTTATCCATGTAATTGTTAAAATTCATTGTAGAAATGTGGGATAGAGAAATATGATAAGATGAATGAAGAGATTCAAGTGCGTGAAGGATTTGCATATGTTATGTTCTTATAGTAGTGAATTTGAACGGTGTGGTAACCTTTGCAGGGAGTGATCATTTTCGAGTCAAACCATTGAGAAATGTGGGTAACTTTGTAGTGATAAGTCATTTCCGAGTCAGAACATAGACAAGTATGATCACCTTTGCAGAGAGTGATTACTTTTGAGCCAAACCAATGAGAGATGTAGGGACCTTTGCAGTGATAGGTCATTTTCGGGTCAGAATATGGAGAAGTGTGATCACATTTGCAGAGAGTGTTCATTTTCGGGTCAACACATTGAGAGATGTGGGGAGCTTTGCATTGATACATTTTTAGGTCAGAACATAGAGAAGTGTGATCACCTTTGCAGAGACTGTTCATTTTGGGTCAAAGCATTGAGATATGTGGGGAACTTTGCAGTGATAGGTCATTTTCGGGTCAAAACATGGTGAAGCGTGATCGTCTTTGCAGAAAATGTTTATTTCAGGTCAAAACATTGAGATATGTGGGGAACTTTGCAGTGATAGGTCATTTTAGGTCAGAACATGGTGAAGCGTGATCACCTTTGCAGGGAATGGTTATTTTGGGGTCAAAGCATTGAGGGATATGGGTAACTCTGCAATGATGGGTCATTTTCGAATCAGAACATGGTGAAGCATGACCACCTTTGAAGATAGTGTTCATTTTCAGGTCAATGCATTGAGAGATGTGGGGAACTTATTAGTGATATGTCATTTACGAGTCAGAACATGGAGAAGTGATCACCTTTGCAGAGAGTGTTCAATTTCGGGTCAAAGCATTGAGAGATGTGGGGAACATTGCAGTGATATGTAATTAGAGATGTGGGGAACTTTGCAGTGATAGGTTATTTTTTGGTCAGATTATGGAGAAGTGTAATCACCTTTGAAGAGATTGTACATTTTTGGGTTAAAGCGCGATCACCTTCGAAGAAAGTGTTCATTTTCAGGTCAAAGCAATTAAAGATGTGGGAAACTTTGCAGTGACAGGTCATTTTCGGGTGAGAACATGGAAAAGTGTGATCACCATTG